TCCCCTTCACTGGGGGGTGGAGAGAATCCACTCGTTTGTTTTTTATCTCACTCAGATTCAACAGCAACGCCTTCTGTGGACTGAACAATGGGCTCCAACATGAGACAGCAAGATGTGACAGGTGCTGAGTCTTAGACTTAGCTTCCTTATTGAGAAATAAAACCAAGACCCCCAAAAGACCATGTAGGTGGGAGTGGGAGGGGCCAACTGCAACAAGACAGAGGTGAACTTGTGTGTATACACACATGTGTGCATGGGTGAACACATGCATGTATGCATTGTGTGTGAGAGAGAATATGTGTGTGTGTGTGTGTGTGTGTGTGTGTGTGTGTGTGTGTGAGAGAGAGAGAGAGAGACGCTCTCTGGATTACACAAACAGCTACACAGCGTGAGGCAATGGTGAATGCGAAGTAACTGGCTAGAGCCGAGATTCCTATTTCCATTGGAATGAAGACTTGACTGGCTTCCTGCTTTGAGCTTACTTGGAATCCCTGGAGCTCCAACTAAACCATCTTTAGGATGTCCTCTCTTTAGGGAGAGAGCTGGTGAAGGGGTACAGCAGCCAAGCCCATGTGGAGACATGGGAAGTTGCCCCTGGGGAAACCAGGATGGCTCCTTGGTCTTCTCGCTCTGAAATGAGGTTGGATTTTCTGGATTTTCCTTCCAGGGCACACTGCCCCGTATCAGTTGTTCATCTCTTTATTGTCTGACCACTAGCTGGTGAATTCTTGAGAGTGAAGGCCACCCATTAGTTCTCTCTGTCCTCCGAATACCCAGCACAGAACCCGCAAGTGGACAGATACATGGCAGATGCTTAAAACTCAAGCATGTGTGTATGCGTGTTTGTGAATGCCTTTACACCTGTGTGTCCCCCACTAATTCTCAAGGATGATACAAGGCACCTTCAAAAGTTCAAGGAAATGAGTTATGAGAAAATACACAGGGATTTCAGAGCTGGGTTCACAACAAACCCAACTTACCTTTAAATTCCATTTTGCATGGAAGTTTCAAAATTCCCTTTGAGAATCACCCAGAGTGCTTGCTCATGAGGAAATTCCTGGTTTATGAAAAGAGTATTGAGTTGGAAGTTGAAGGATAGGGGTCTGATGTTTTTCTGAAGGTCCCTGGGAGAAGCTGCCATGTGGGAGCCTTAGGGAGCCTCTGCTGTCCTATTGGGGCCGGGCGCCCAGCGCTCAGAACATCATCAGGATGCTGAGGCATGCGAGGCCCGAACAGCCCATTCCAGCGGGCATATTTGACAGAAGGGGATTCTAGGGAGGCAGTGTTTCTGGTGCTTTAAGACCCTGGCATTAGTGTGCCATGTGGGCCCTGGAATCCCACATTGATGTGTTTCCTGAGAAGGGGCAAGGGAGCCCCTGAAACTGAATATACTAAGATGGGTTCCCAAGCCGAGGATGCGGAAGAGCTTTCTTCGAAACATACAGCAGGGAAGGCACAGACAAAATCAACCAAAACAGAGCCATGGGCACCATTAGTTGAACGTGCTTCACTGACCTTCTGTATAGCAAACATGCTGGACAAGGGAGGCCAGAAACAGTGTCTGCCTGCACGTGGTGTGCAGGTGCTGGGTGGGGCGACTACGGGATAAAAGTCCTTGGCAGACAGAAAATGCAGCTGTGTATTCCCACCTGCTGTTTTCCTTTCCTTCCTCCTCTTTATTTATAGCTGAACTTGTCCTTTGGGGGGCTCTCCTTGGGCCACAGAAGCACTTTTTATTGTATCAGAGACGTCCTTCTGCCTGTGATCAGAAGATTTTTGTGATGCTTGCCTGCAAGTCAGGGATAAGCACATGCAAACATGTGAAAAAGGGACCAGAGGAAGGTAAAAGGAAACACGGATCTGTTTCACAGTTGCCATCTTTCTCAACTAAGTTGGGGACTGGCATCAAGAGGGAGGAGATGGTGCTGGTGCAGCGGAGGCTCCTTCCTTGGCCTGCCTGGCCACATGCACCTGGCTTGGCCACCCCATCTTTCTAGCTGGATGACTCTGCAGGTGTCATTGTCCCTTTCCAGACTTCTTCAAGATCTCTCTCGGGTCTGACATGGGCTGAATTATGAGTCACAAACCGGAGCAGGCATAAATAGATGTCGATGAATTTCCCATTAGAAAGAAACTCATCTTGAGCGCTGGCAAGCATTTGAGGCAGTCATTGCTAATTGTTCATCAAGTTGGGGTTATGGATTATTTGGCTTGGATGAAGGAGAGCACTTAGAAGTTATAAATGATCCCTAACAAAGATACATCAGGCATCCAGGCTGAATGCCAAGTTTTAAGACTATGAGCGAAGGTAAAGGCAGGTTCCTAGTTTCTGTTGCTCTCTAACTTGCTCATTTCAACTTTGGACCAGAATGCAGTGGCTTGAATATTTATGCTCCCAAACTCAAGAAGGTGATCCCAAAAGTTTTGCATAAATGGTACTAAGAATTGGGTGGGGGTGTCTTTAGGCAAGATCTTTGGAAAGAGATTGAACCGGACCAGATTGTTGGGAGGGAGACCCCAAGATGAGGGATCTTTTTTTTTTCTAAAGCAGCCTGCCTCAAGTGTGTTGTTAGAGTACAGAGATGCTAACCCAGACACTATGAATTCAATCTACAAACTCAGAAACAAAGCACAGAATAAGAATGCATCCCTGCATACAAGGTCTGCCTCAAGGTCACCCATAGGACCCTGGAAAAATCCCATTCCTCTCCAAGTGTCAGCCCATGACATTGGCAACCAGAAGAGGCAGGGTCTCTGGGTTGCTGGGTGTGTTGAAGGCTGGGTGGGCAGGGCCCTGGACTGCTTTACTGCTTGACCGAGAAGTCTCTTTCATCTGTTTCATATACTGAGCACTAGATGAGATTTATAAAAAGAGGTTCTGAGGATAAAAAATGCTTCATGAAACTACTAATCAGAGCAAAGTGGCACAGGGGTTCAGCCTGTATCTAGGCTGTGCTACGAAAGCAAAGCCTTGCCCATGGCTCCATGGGGTCTTGGCTCCCATGAGAGAAGAAAGCCCAGTGCTCTCAGGTGCCAAGTGGCTGTGCCTCCAGGGTTGCTGAAACTCCCTCTTGTAAATCCCACCCACTTATCTGTCAATTAAATGACCCTGCCCCCAGGACATACTTCCCCCTCATTGGGAACCTGGGCTGAATCATGAAACCACTGCTGCTTCTCAAGATCACATGAAGACTGGCACTTAGGAGGGGTGTTCTCTGCTTTCCCAGAGACACAGAGTGGCAGCCAGAAACTTCTCCTCTCCCAACTTTCCCCTCTTGACCCATCCCATCCCAAACATGCCCCATGTGTATCAGTGATCTCGCCTCCTTTCAAATAAACTTAATAATAATAATGATGATGATGATAAAGCAAACCTCAGCATCTCCTCATTGCCCCTAGCAGTGGCTCTTAAACTCGAGGGTGATTTAGAATTGCCTGGAAGGTTTGTGAAGACTCTAATGCCAGATCCCACCCCTAGGAACACTGAGTCATGGAGTGTGGGCAGGGCCTGGGAATTTGCATTTCTAACATGCTCCAGCTGATGCTGCTGACACTTTGAGAGCGATTAGTCTGGATGACAAAGGTCAGGCCTCTTGGCTTGCCCCTCCAGAACTGGTCCCCAACTTACTTCCCCAACTCACCCTCTACTACCCCAGGTACTGCCCCATGTCACTGCCCCTCCTCCACCACCCTGCACTTCTCTCCTGGACTCCTTCTGTTCCACCTGCCCAAACTGCCTGAATTTAACTTCTCTCTGCTGATCTAACGAAGCTCCAATGCTTTGTTTCCCAAAAAGCCTTCCCAGACTTTGCATTAACAGTCATGGAAGCTGCCCTGTCCCCAAATCCATCCTTAGAATCATACAGCTCCTCCTGGATGTTGCACCCTTTAATTTTGTGTCTTGTTTGTCCAGGTCTTGTCCCTGCCCCTGATTCATGCCCCTGGGATAGGAAGTGTATCCTAATTTGGCATTTACAGCACTGCCTACAGCCTCGGCACCTGCATGTGCCCTGAGCCCACCAGACCAATTGTGCAAATCTGAGCTCATCTCACTGAGTCCACTCAATTCCCTGAGACAGACCAACTCTAGAAATGACCCTGCTTAGAACCCAGGACAGCTTTTCCCACGTCTGCTGGGACAGAGTCAGCGGCAAATATTTCATCATGAGACATAAACAGCTACTGTGTATGTTGTTACCAGAAGGCTGTGTTACGTGGCAATTGAGATCCAGGCCCAGATTCAAGTCCCAGCTCTGCCTCTGGTTAAAGCAAGACTTAAATATGCTTGTTCCCAAGTAAGTCACCTTTGATGGGGACAAATAGCACCCTTTGCCGACAGATGAGGATGCACTCAGATGACTGGCAGTGACAGCAGCTGGTATTTTCTGAGCACCCAGGCCTGGCCATACCTGATGTAATTAGCCACCAAACATACTTAGCACATATTCAGCACATCATGTGCATTTTACAAATATCAGCCATCATGACAACTGCTTATTTTCTCAACTTCCATGTGAGACATATATTATTATTCCCATTTCCCAGACAAGACACTTGAGGCTCACCTCAAGCCATGTGCGCAACAAGTAATAGCAGGTTGTAGTGTAGGCTGGCTAAGTTTCAGAACTATGTGGCAAGGTGGGTATTGTATTATTCCCACTAATGAATGAAAACTCAGCATTCCACTTTAGGCAACTTGTAAGTGAAAACCGAGAACTTAAACCTGACTTTGGGTCCAGAACTCATGCTGACTCAACACTTGCGCTTGGAAAGTGCACCTGCTCCTCATGCCGTGAATGCTTCCTCTCCTGTCTTACCCCTGGGTGGTGCAGAAGCACTCCCTAACGAGCCAGATAGCATGCACAGCCCCTGCCCTCACTTCCACAGCCCTGGAACCTCACGGCTCACAAGGTAACATTGTGAGAGGATGGATCATGCTGGGGGAGCCCCATCTGACTTCAAGGAATGCCAAGAAAGGAGCCCACAGGCCCGGGACTGACCGTGACTCCGAAGAAATTGGTCTCATTCATGGCATTGAGGATGATCCTGCCGAGCGTGTGGTCTGTGTAGTTGAAGTCCTGGATGCGCTGGTGCCGGCTGCTGGCATGCAGTGTCTCCATGGCCCTCTGCAGCGTCTTGGCGATGACCCAGATGCCATCATAGGCATAGCCATGGAACTTGCTGGGCCCCACGCCTGATCGCTTCTTGTTGTACTCCCTCTCGTACTGTTGTGGAGTCTGGAGAAACAAGGTGGTTGGGGAAGCCTCAAGTTAGAGCCAATGAGGAAACAGGCCCAAAAAGAACTGCTGTTCCCTACCTCCTGCTGTGGGCTAGGCACAGTGTTATACCTTTCTCATGCAGCTTCTTCCACCATACCCATTTTCCAGATGAGGAAACTGATTCAGGGACTTGGCTAGTCAGGGATGAGCCTTGAGCCCTGTCTGTCTGGCAAGCCTTCCCCTAGATATTTGCAAGGCCTGGACTAGAGTGGCTTGGAAAGCCCTTCCGTGTCCAAAGACTTTGTACATACATGAGGAACTTTTGGCTTCCAAACCATAAGAAAGCTACCCTGCTGATAATTCTTCCAGAGAGGAATTTGGAATTCTGGGGCTCTTTGGAGCTCCAGGTTGTACACACAGCAGCACACAGGGAGTCAGCCCCACTCTGCAACCCACTTCCCCTGGCCCTCCCACACCAGCTCCATCCTGCAGCCCAGACAGGCTCAGTCCACATTTCCTCCCCCTGCCAGCCTCAGCAGTCACTACCCTGGCAGCAGCTCCAACTGTCTGGGCAGGGGATTCTGCGGTTGGGGGGAGGAGGGATCTAGAAGCAGAATGAGGAGTACAGGTTCTGAGGCTATCCCCACGGCCTTGTGGATTCTGAGCCTTGAGGGGTCCCTGGGGAGGTCCTCTTAGAGCCTAGCCTGGGCCTGGCGCAAGTGGCAGGTGTCCAAGTGAGAGACATCTGCCACTACTTTTATCTCCCAGAAGGCAACAGTATGTGAATAGCTTGGCCTTAAAATGAAGACCTGCTGCACTCCACATGAGCAGAGTGCCATGAAGGAACTTTCTTGGTGACATTAACATGAGACTGTTCTGAGGCGCTTTTTCCCGGGGTCCTTGGAGCTTATGCCCATAAATGAATGATATTCTACAGGAAGTCATTGCCCTCAGCCCCTACCTCAGTAGGCCTTTCCTCAAAATCACTTCTGACTTCCTCAGCCAGAAATGGCTACAGGGCCTGCGGCCTAGTCTTTGGGAAAAACCCAGATAGAAAACCTCGGCTCTTGGTTCGTGGTCCATTTACCCTTAGGAATGGCCCTGGAGACAGTCACACATGCCTCTGTTGTGTCCGGCAAGAAGCACAGAGGTCCGGTGATTTGCCCAGTGTCACACAGTGTGTGTGTGTGTGTGTGTGTGTGTGTGTGTGTGTGTGTGTGTGTGTGTGCATGCATGCATAGTCAGAATAGCTTCCTACTCCATCTCTGCTATATCCTTCATCTTGTTTCAGAGGGTCTCATTGCTTTAGAAAACCACCATGGTCCTCTGAGAGTGGGTCTGGTACCCAGAAAGATTGGGGAGGAGGGGAGCTGCTCCATCCATGGCATGTTTTCTTCTATGGCTGGAACCCACTGTGACCAAGAAGCTGGGGCTCTTGCCCAGTTACTGTTGCAGGGACTTCCAGAACCTGAGGGCAAGGAGTTCTCCATGACCCCCCAGGCCCCAGCAGGGGTTCTACCTCCTGCCTTCTGGTTTTATGGCTGCATCTGGGAGCTCAGTGCTTCTCCCCTTTTATAACTTCCCACCGGAAAGCAGCCTCTCTCATTCTATCAGCTCATTCTGCTCTTTATGCCAAAAGCACACCAGGAATACTTCCAACTCTAAGGGTCTTGCAGAGCAGCCTGTATCTGACTGGCTGAGCTCCGCTGCTAGAGCCCCATCCTCAGGGCACTTTCTGCCTTGCATTCCCAATGGGGGTGTGTTGGGAGGCTTCCTTTAGGAACCCCCAGTCAGCCTTGGCCTGGGCTAGGCATGAGCCTCTCCTCCTTCAACCTGTGTGTTCTTCTGTCCCATGCAGTCAGCATGCACCAAGTGGCTTCCTCACCGGCCCTTTGTAGAGTGCTCCTGCTCCAACCCTTGGCAGGATGTCCTCAGCCCACACAGGATGGTCAATACTGAGTTGCTTCTTGTAGAAGGCTGGCCTGGCCCACCTGTTCTGGAAGCCCCTTCCCCAGGCCTGCCCCATCCTCAGCTTAGTCTTCCTCACTTCACGTGCACCTGCTGCCCTATCTCTAGCTCTGAGCTCCTTTTGCTTACTGTCTGGTAAGTAAGCTCTCTTCCCTACAACTGCATCTCTAACTCACCCAAGCTCAGAGAGGTCAATGATGTGATCTGTCTTCAGCACCTTAATGTCACCAGAACCCCAAACCATACCTGAATCAGCCCTGTCTGTACAACACAGGGCACACATCTGTTCCCACACCATGCAGCCAAGATCTTCTGCCCAAATAGAAAAGGTGCAAATCCCTGCAAACTTGACATGGGGTATTTAATTTTAAAAATCAGTGTTGGGGCTGATGCTGTGATAAAGCTGGCAAAGTCACCTCCTGCAGTGCTGGCAACCCAAATGGTTCCAGCGGTGCCACTTCCAGCTCTCTTAATGTGTCTGGGAAAGCAGAAGAGGACGGGCCAACTGCTTGGCCCCTGCACCCACGTGGGGGACTCAGATGGAGCTCCTGGCTGCTGGCTTTGGCCTGGCCCAGCCCTGGTTGGTGTTGTCATCTGGGGAGTGAACCAGTGATAGAAGGTCTCTCTTCCTCTCTCTCTGTAACACTGCCTTCCAAATAAATAAATCTTAAAAAAAAATAGTGTCAGTTTGTTAAGAAAAAAAAGGGAATCTTCTTTTCATTTTAATTTCTTTGATTAATGGCTGGAGCAAGCTCCTTTCAAATGCTGACCAACCACTGTTTATTTCTCTGGTGAATGTCTTCTTTATACTGCGTTGCTATGGGGACAGTCACATCTTTTACTGTTTTATTTTCCTGCATCCTTGTTATTTTTTTGTGCTCTACAACTTGGTTATATTTTCTTTGATTTTAAAGTGTGATTTGGGACTATCTCAGGTGGTTCATGCAATTGTTGTTGGCTATTTTCAAAGTATGAAAAACTGGAGTTGGTGTTTGGTCACCACTTGGGACTCTTGGGTTCTATCCTAAGTGCCTGGTTCAAGTCCCAGCTGGTCCACTTTTGATCCAGCTTCCTACTAATGTTTACCACGCGATGCAGCAGGGGATGTCTCTAGTCCCTGAGCCCCAGTCATTCGGCTTAGTCCTGTCATGGGTATTTGAGGAGTGAACCAGTGGTTGGAAGAATACCTCTGTTTGTCTATGGAAGGAGGCCCCTGCGGCTTGCTGTCCCTTCTTCACTGTGTGTCTAGGACTCCCCTCGGATCTACCCAAGGGCCTCCAGGGGCTGCTGCTACCCCTTGTTGATCCTGTTGGTTCCAGCTATTGATCCCTGTCAGGTGGTCTTTCTAGACACTTCCCAGCCCTCCAGCCTGAACTTGGCCTTGGGCAACCTCCTAGGGTCTCCAGGATCCACCTAAAGTCAGAGGTCCAGAACTGAGCCTGAACTGAACACTTCTAGTATGGACTGGCCATGGACAGCTGAGTGCTACTTTTTTTTTTTTAAAAAAAGATTTGTTTATTTTTATTAGAAAATCAAATATGCAGAGAGGAGAAAAGACAGAGAGGAAGATCTTCCGTCTGCTGAGTCACTCCCAAAGTGGTTGCAATGGCTTGAGCTGAGCTGAGCCGGAGCCAGGAGACTGGAACTTCTTCTGAGTCTCCCATGTGGGTGCAGGGTCCCAAGACCTTGGGCAGTCCTCCCAGCTGAGTATCACTTTTTTTTTTAAAGATTTATTTTTTATTATTTTTTTATTGGAAAGGCGGATATACAGAGAGGAGAGACAGAAAGGAAGATCTTCCGTCCGATGATTCACTCCCCAAGTGACCACAACGGGCCGATACTATGTCGATCCGAAGCCAGGAGCCTCTTCCGGGTCTCCCACGCGGGTGCAGGGTCCCAAGACTTTGGGCCGTCCTCGACTGCTTTCCCAGGCCACAGGCAGGGAGCTGGAAGGGAAGCGGGGCTGCCGGGATTAGAACCGGCGCCCATATGGGATCCCGGGCGTGCAAGGCGAGGACCTTTAACCACTTGTGCCACCGCGCCGGGGCCCCGAGTATCACTTTTTAACTCCTTAGATACCAGGCTTGGTTTGGTTTTGTGCTGGTTGGTTGATTGCTTTTTGATGGGAACAGTAGAGGGATCATATTTATGGGATTTGACCTTAGGCCAGCACCAGCTCCTAGAACAACTTTTCAGGTGTGCTTCTCCTCAAGTCCATTTCCTTTCTAACTCATAAATCTGCTGTTCTTCTCAGGAGGAGGAGTGGGAGGGAGCCGAAGGCCAGGGCACACAGCTGCTTACCACGTTTCTGTGGGAAGAGTCCTTGGAATAGGACACAGGTGCTGCTAAGCTCTGCAAGGTGACCTCACTCCTGCTGTCTTTGCTACCACATTATATCCTGGGCCATTCATCACTGTTCCCAAGGGACGCCAGCACCAATCTCCCTTGGGCACAATAATGACAGTATGAAGAGACGCTCACGATTGTTGCAGAAAAAGTAATAGTTTTCTCAGAGCAGGCGTCCATTATTCCAGCAGAAGACTTTCTTCCCTCGTAAAGCTTTCTCTGAATAGTGATTAATTACTCACCCATCAAGGTCAAGTTTAATGTTGAGAGGTGAAAAGTTTCTATGAAGATAACTTCATGTACATTGTTCCCATTCCTGATGGGCTGTGCTCCAGCATACTTCTATAAGGCAGTTGTTGGACTGTGGAGCATATTATCTCATAGAAACTAGATGATAAATAGTGGGTAGGTTCTCAGACTAGCCTACTCCATGTCAGTAGACTTTCCAGATTTGTTATCTTGATGGAACAGAGTCTCACTTTCTGGGAGAGAGAAGGGTTTTAGGATGGAAGAGGGGAGGACAAAGAGGAGGATAGATTCACTTTTGTACCTGGCCCTCATAGAGGCTCCAGGGGCAGAAGCTTTCTCTGGCCCTCCCCATGGGACATGTGAATCTCATAGCCTCAAGTGGAAGGGGGGTGTTGAAGCTATTTTAGCTGCTGCTTGCCATCCTCCAGTTCAGAGCTCACTTGAGTAGTGGGTAG